ATTTATTCGTTAGATAATTCATTTGAATAATCCTCCATCAATCCCCTAGGTTGATGCACGAAAGTATGAGAAAACGGTCTTAAAAAAACAAAGATAATAAAATCGGTATTTAAAAACCGATTTTTGTAGTGCAAGTTGGCATGACAATACCGATAATACAAAAACAAATCGGTGTTGTCATGCCGATTTTTACTACAAAAATTGGTTTTTAAATACCGATTTTTATTAAAATAATCGGACTGTGGTTACCGACTTTAGTAACAAAAATCGGTATTTGCAGACCGATTTTTGGTGTCGTCGAATTTTTTTCCCAACAAAAAAAAACGACCAAAAAGCAAAAATAAAAGTTTAAAACATATTTCATTGTGTTCTCCACTCTCGTAAACCACTATATCATTGTTTTCTGGTTCCATCATGAATGTTTGGTATGTATTTAATAATTTTGGTGTGTAGGATTTCTTGGTGGGTTTGTGAAGAAGAAGGAGAAGAAGGAGATTTTTAAGTCGTGAAATGAAGAAGAGGGGTCTCTGGATTTATGTATTTTATTTGGTCTTGCACAAAGGACATGATTTGTTTTATTTTTTAATGTTTTGTATTTTTTATGTGATTTTAAATTTCATTAAAGGTAAATTATTATTTTTATGTTGGAGGTCTTGAACTAATAAAGTATATTAAAGTATGAGGGGCTATTTTAGTCTTTTACAAAAATCTGGACCATGTGTGGATTTTTTTGTAAAAGAGTTTATTTTTTGGATCTCTTTATCAATAAATACCCATTGATGAGCTTATTTGTAAAGACCCATATATATATATATGTCAGGAAGTGAGCGGTCCATATATATTATTTTTGATCCATGTATAATTTTATTATCCATTGTTTTTTGTTAGTAGAGATTGGCATGTGTTTGTGTGCTATGATGACAAAGAATGAGTGAGATTAAGATTTGATGTTTTGTTTTAGTGTATCATGAAATGATTTATTTGTTATGCTGCATCCAAATAACAAACATGATAAACCGTATGTATCAAGTTTTATTTTTCTTTATATATTTTGGATTTGTAGTGAAGTTGGAATATTGCATGAAATATGAAAAGTTGTAATGCATAGTTAAGGGTGTTAATTTAGTTTTGCATGGTTTTATGTACGGGTACACTACATCCATGTATATTAACTTTTTTATCAATGTATCATTAACTTCCCCTCGGTGTTTCTTATGTATTGTTTTTGTAATTCTATTTTGGGTTTGAGTTTTCTTCAAAGTTTCTTGCTTGTTTATGTTGAAACCGAAGGTGAATGTTCTTCTGTATTTTTTAAACTTAGATGTGAAATGGTGTTTTCTGAATCAATAGATTTCTGTAGTTGATTATGTGATTTTTTAGGGATTTCGTAGTGGATTTACGATCATTTTGTAGTGGTTTACGTGAATTTTGATGGTACTTGTTCCTTACTTGTTTTGATGTGGTTTTTAATATTTTTTTCTAGGTGAGTTATATTAGTTGCAATCTTCCGGTCCAATCCTCTGCAAATTTGTACCTCCATCTCACACGGTGATGGATTGAAAGAGTGGATTACTTTTTTCAGTATGTTATTTTTTCAATTGTAATTAGTAGTGGTTTATGTTAATACGTAGTGGTATACATATTGTTTTTAGTGTTTTTCGATAAGTTTGTAGTGGAATACATCAATGTTATACGTACTGTTTTTAGTGTTTTTCGATAAGTTTGTAGTGAAATACATCACTATTAAAGTGCATTACGTTAATTTTGTAGTGAGTTTTACGGTCTTTTTAAAGTGGTTTTTCATAATTTTATAGTGGTTTTCGATAATTTTATATTAGTTTTCAATGAGTGGATTTCAATTTCCACGAATGTGGTGTATTTCATTTATTGATAAACCTACTCGAAAAACATAACAAAAATGTTAATTTAAAAAAAAATTAATTAGTGGTTTTCGATAAGGGGGCAACTATTTTGAATACTAATTTTTGCTTAGTTGAATACTACCTAGTTGAAAACCACAATTGAGTACATATTTATAAGTTTTTTCTTACTTTAAAACCAAAATAAAAAGAAAATTACAAAAACACCCTTTCATACAAAATATCAATTATATCAAATT